CACAAACAATGCCCAAGTGCCTCTTTCAGCGTCTTCATGATCATGTAGATACATTTTTAGATAATTGTACGGGAGTGTGTCATCACATACATACACCTAAAACAAGAGCCCTTTAATTTTAAGTAGCAGGGATCCCCCTGCCTTCTTGAGTTGACATCAACATTAGGGGCCTAAATGTATAAAATACTACACACAAACAACAAGTTTGTAATTAATTGTTGTGGTTGTGAAGGTTTATGATTATTAGAGATATCCACCTTTTTTATGAATCAGTGCTTTTACTTTCAGGTGACACTGCAGACATGTCTTGAACTGGACTCTTGGGAGTACAAATAAAAACTTGTCTAGTTTGCCCCAAACATCGTTCCTGTCGTCTGTCAGTCTGCTCTCGCTTTTTCCCCCACTTTGTCTATTTTTGCATAATTGTTTGCTTGTTTTCTTCATTATCTCTCCATCTGGAATTCAACTCCCTGCAGTGATAAACATACGGCCCCTCTCCGTCTCTCTTTCTCCTTCTTTCTCCCTCCAACTCCTTGCACCTAGATGAGATGTAATTGTGATTAACAGCGCCATGACAAGAGGACACAAGACTTTAGTCATGATGGAAAAACAAACAAACAAAACTGACGAGATAAAATGGTGGAAATATGTACAATATCTTATCACAGATGCTAATTGTTTCCGTGTGGGAGGCGAGGGTGGCCATGGAGAGGAGCAGTGCACGTGAGGGAGGGAAAGAGGAACTTGAGAATATCCTCCCTGTGCGTTTGGCCTGTGCCTGACTTCAGAGCTAAGCCCTCTCTCAAGAGAAGGTCAACACCAGGTTCAACTTTTCACCTCGGCAGCCTGAGAGAACACACTAAATACCAAGGATTACACCACAGCACACTGCAATATCGCCTCGCCTTCACTGCATTTCAGAACCGATCTACACAGCACATTTCCAAACCACAATTCAATAATGCATTTTCATATTAAATAAATGCCACAACAAACCATCTGTTGCAATACGGTTAGACATACTTGGTGCATATTGAACCTAAAATATGAGTGCATGTGCTGGAAAAACAATAGTATAAATCTGCCCAAATATTATCACTAATAACTGCAGCAGATATGCAACAGCTGTAGTTAAATTACATTTAAATTATGCAGGTTTTATTTTTTTTTGTCATATTACTTGCAAACTACATTTTGATTAAATTTTGATGACAGCCATTAACTCACAAACTCAGCGGGACATCAAAGGCAACATCACAGCCCCATGTCAACCTCCTGTACTGAAGGGACAAGTGGGCAGGCTACAGTGGCAGGGGGTTGATGACCCTTAATCGGACTTTTGGGCACTCTGTCTAGTGGAGCAATGTATATGTGAGTGAGTGAGTATGCGTGTGTGGGCATGGCAATGTCAGCGTCGGTCAGGTGTAACTGCACAGACAGACAGACAGACAGGCAGGCGGCCGACTGGCGTCAGCGGCCACACGCCTGTCACGACACACCACACGCCAGGGAGCCGCATACCGCAGCACCCACACTGCGTACACACAATGAGCGCTCAGTCCCCTGCATCACGCACCAGCGGCAGCAGCAATGTGAAATATTCACACAGGGACAAAAGGTAGAGAGACACGAGGGGGAGGGGGAGACCTGGGAGGTGAGGACAGAGGAAAGGGTTCAAGAAAGTCGGGCTGAAACGGTAGAAGTGACATGAAAAACTAACTTGTGACAAACTTTTTTTTAGACAAACGTCTCGCTGCACAGCTGTTTGAGGCATTGAGGCAAGTCTTACAAAAAATTACAAAAAGAAAAAAAGTTCATGCTGGACAGTTGTTTCAAAATGCAACATTAATTTTAAGATTTACTACAAAATTATCTGTCACAATATTTTATAGTAAGGAAGATGTCAATAATACAGTAATAAACAGCCTTCATTTTAAAATGGTTTTACAACTACTTTTATTGTAATCTAATTTATTACAATAATCATAACTAAATCTGAGATTCAATTCATTGTAACACAATTAGTCAAATTACAGTTAATTAATCATTAACTATTCTAATTGTAAAGTCATATATGAAAGAAAAATTCATTCTAGCTTCTCAGACGTGAGAATTTACTGTTCTTCTTTGTTTTACATGACTGTAAACTTAAAGTCTGGTTATCACTTTAGGATCTGGGAACTTGTGTTGGGCATTTTTCACTTTTTTCTGACATTTTATAGACTAAATAATAATCAAATCAAATAAAAAAAATAATAAAAAGATTAATCATTATTGAAAATAATCCTTGGTTGCAGCACTAATCAAATTTAATTCAGTCATTCCTCCAAATATTGCAGTAGTTTATATGTACAACTTTCTAAGTGACGCACTTCGCAAATCGTTAATTCGACACAGCAATACGATAAAAACCACAATGTTCCTAAGCTTTCTATAAACTGGAAAACTGCATAGAACCATGGAAAAAAGTATTAACCCACAGTAGTCAAAGCTGACTATTAGACCTGAGTTTCCTGACACTACAGATTTTTCACAGTCTCTCACGCCCTCTGGTGGACGAGTAGGAGATATACATTGACTCCTTACCTTTCAATGCACAATCTCCTTATTAAAACTTCCTTTAGCTCAGCCTGACCTGATGTTTCTAACCTTGTGGGGATCTGGGGGATGAACAGCAAAGATATTAATGTCAGCCATGTGTGAAGAAGTCGCTTGAGCATTTTCTGCAACCAGGGCCGAATGGAGTACAGTGGGGCCCTCTCAAGCTATTGCCGACACCCTGAGTCTCGCACATCTGGTGTTAATCAGCAAAGCTTACACAAACACACATATACACACACACATACAAAAAGACAGACACACACAGGCAAACACTTCTGCAAAGATCCCCTTATGAAAATCCCTCTCAACTTCTGAACTTCCGACATGACTGGGGTCAACACACTTGCTCTGGATCTATTAGTACACACACCACAGCCATGTAATACGAGCTGGTGAATTGTTACAGTACATGTCTCACACACACACACACACACACACACACACACACACACACACACATTTTAGATTCATAGGGAAAAGTACAGCACATAACTATGCATGCAAAAACACAAATGCATTCAAATGAGGGGTGACAGAAAACATATGTGTTCTGAGCTGTTGATAATATATAGTAATGACTGAATTGCCTGGAAAGAAAGACCTCCAAAATCACTAAAGATTATAAAAGTTTTTCATAATTAAAAACAATACAAACCCACAGCACTCACATATTTTACTGGCATTTGAGGCATTGAATGGAAAGTAGTGACATAAAGACATAGACTCTTATTGATTAATTAATACCGTGAAGTTAACAATTACATTATAATGTGGCATCAAAGGATTTTCTGATGTGCCCTTTAATAAGAGAACTTACATTTTTCCCACCCAACAGGTGAAATGAAGCTAAAAAGGAGAATGAGGAAGATCACATCACATTGGAAAAAGCACAGGTTGAAAATGATAAAACGAATGATGGCTTAATGCCATTTAGCTTCTTCAGTTTTAGGGTCCTGGTACTGTCACATACATCGTTAATGTTATTTATAACACCTGTGCTTTACCTACTATGTTGACCACAGTCTGTACCCGCCCTAGCAGTCCAGAGAGGACACCTAATCAGTAAGTCAAGTGAAATCACCTGTGGGTGGGTGTTCAGGTGCTTGTACAGTGTACAGTGTATACATACTGTATGAAGTGTACAGTATACTGTACTGTATAGGTTAATGAGCTCCTGGTGAATACAAGCGAACAAAAATGACATCCCTCCATCCACACGGGTTTTCTACAATTATTAACTGTGCACTGTGTCTGTCACCTATTTGTTACCTGTCTGTCTGTCTGTCTGTCTTCTCTCTTCAGGTGAGCAGTAGCAGGTGTGGTTCAGTGGACGATAACCTGTCAATAACCTGAACACACAGAGCAAACTTAACGTCTAACCCCAGATAAAGGAGGTCATTGTAGTACACCAACTACAGAGAATCAAACACACTCATATATATATAAATATATATATAAACTACTGTTATATAAACTATACATACGTTATATAACATATATTATGGTTAGCTTATGTTAAACAACGTTGCGTTAACTAGTGTTAGCTGGAGTGAGATTACCGTTAGCTAACGTTAGTTCGTGGAGGTTTACCCCAGAAACATTTCTCATTGGTTAGTAATCTTGTAGTGTTTTCTTTTGTAAAACTAAAACATACAGTTAGAAAATACTTTCAATAAAGTACAATTCTCACCTTTGTTAAATAAACCCGTTTTCAAGTGCGCCATCTTCTTTACGTCGGAACAAGCGGTAATGAGCTCACTGCTGCCCCCTGTGGCCATGTGAGCCACTTCCTCTCTACACCTGCCTTCTAGCCAAAAATACAAGGTAAACAAACCTATGAAAATAAATAATGATAATGGTAATAAATATATTCCCTTACACGTAAAGTACTATATTTAAAATGTGCTGAAGGACATGTTGTTATACTCTACCCCTGCCCTCAAGATATACCAACTTGAACCTTGAACATTTGATGCTGTCAAAACAGTTTGAGTCAGAAACACCTAATATATATTTTATATTCTTAATTGTATTCCTTGAATGGCTATTTTGGTTTCAGTTCGGAATCTTAATAATCTGGCTTGGTCAGTGTGCACATTTTCAGCAAGATGGTGTTTGCTGATATTTCTCTCTGGTTGTCAGTTAGATGGTGTAAGTCGAGGAGGTGCAGTATGTGTGTGGGTTTTCTGCACTCACCAGTGTACAGGTCCATATATGCAAACTAGTTATTGTACAGCTTTTACTGAGTAGGTGAAGCAGCAGTATTTTAGCATTTTGCGAATCAAGGTGCAGATCAGTTCAAAGTGTGAGGCAAAACACGTGGTATTATTGTGGCTGGGGTCACGTACACACATGTATTACATTGAAGTGAACCAGAGCAGTGCAAACCAGAATATTCGTTCTTTTTTTATAAATGTATACTTTATTGTTACATCGTTAGAAACCAGCTGAACCAGGATGTGCCAGTGGAACATGTCAAAGACATCCAACTAACTTTGCGTGACCCTATTAGTTACATCTGTGCTTTTCCTCCAAGGACAAGTTAAAACAAATACAATCACATGCACCATGGACAATCATGTACAATCCTTTTATAATAAAAAGATATTTTATTATTGAAGTGCAAAATATGAATAGTTACAGTTGGGGATGGTTGCTGAGAAAAAAACAGTTCTTGAGACAATTACTGAACAAATCTAAAGATACTTTGTTACCCTGTCATGTTAGTGACTGCAAAAGCAGTTAGAATTTCTGTATTACTACTACACAGTATGTAGTGCAGCACATTAAACATAGGTTCAACTCTGAATCAGCCACTGATATTAGCAAACACACTGAATGATTAGGTTGAACGCTTTGAAATGGCCTATAATCTTATGTAGTTATAATCTACGAGGTAAAAAATATTTAGAGACTAATTAGTGAACTTTCACAGCACACGTGACCCTAAATATCACATGTGACATGCTGCATCATGATACCACCAGTTCATCCAGTGCTGGAATGTAATTAAGTACATTAACTCAAGTAATGTACTTAAGTACAAATGTGACCGTTGCTGCTCGTCCTCATCTTATAATGTGATACACTGAATCATTGTGTGTGTGATCCAGTGTCATTCCTGCACTGACAGGAAGGAAAGATATTTTACAGCAGAACATTTATTTGATTATAAAGTTAATTTGGTATGTGAAGTATGAAGACTTATATAATTCTATGACAGTCTAATATTGGAAAGCTTTGCAGACTATATTATTTCTGTAATCACACACACTTTACTTTGTGCTTTCTAATAGTGAAAGCAGTCAATCTAAAAATAACAAACATGTGGCAGCCAGTGTTAATGATAAATTGTTATTTTGTATTGCCATTATATAAAAAAAAACAATTATCCTGTTTTTTATGATATTTGTTTCTGGATGTGTGTCATTTTTGAATAAAGACACACGGTGACTCTCTCACCCTAATGATGTGGCCCAAGTGCAATTGAAATTTTGAATTATCACCATTCAAAAAGCAGTGTTAAAAAGCTCTGACACAACGTAGTCTGAGGCTCCCCCGTCGATGAGGCCTGTTCCATCATTGTTAACAAACCAGCAGGGAATATTTTCTCCATCCTTCACATGGCTGCTGAAGTCCTTCTGCCAGTGTCTGAGGAAGAAATTAAAGAAAACATTGGAGAGGTGCATACGTGCAAAAAAAATTCTCTTTCACCTTTTCACCTTATGTGTGTGGTGAGTCATAAGCTTTATGAGGCACCTGGTCACGTTGAGTGTTTGTCCCTTCACATACATGGTGGCATCTAAGTTCTTCTGGAGCTCACCCGGACGCAGGTCTGTCACCTCAAACTCAACCCCATGGTAGAACTGACCTGCAGGAAGACAGCTTACTTCACATCTTTTGATTTACTCAGAATAAGGAATAAGTCAAACAGCTACACAATCAATGCATCATGATTTTAATGTCTGTGGCAGCTCTCTACCTAGCAGACCATGAACCGAGGCAGACAGGTGGTGGCTGTCCAGGGTGTAAAAACCCAGGTAGTCTTGATGTTCCCGACGTCTCTTCCAAACTTTCTTGTGTCTAATGACCATAAATTTAACTGAGTGCCTCAGTGTCACTGTCAAGCAGCAGTTCTTAGTCAGGCTGAAGTCCACACTGGAGTAGAGAGAAAAACGTCATGACCAATAGGTGACAGCAAGACAGCAAAGTTTGGATTATTTTGTTTCTTGTGGGAAAAAAAGTGTGATTTACATATAGTTTAACTCAGTTTCAGTGTAGATAGTGTGATACTACATTTGTTTTTTGACTATTTTTGGTTTCTGTTCTTTGTTAACTTTTTGTTTAGATAAAGTTCTACTTGTATCTTGCTTTGGTATACCGTAGGAGTGGTATTTCTAAGGTAACAATACAACTTTGTTTTCTGTTTACTAAAGTTTACGGTATTGTGCAATAAACACAAACAATTAAACATTATTTTCAATATATATATTTTTAAAAGCATTTCTAAAAGGGACCCTTTTCTACCAGGACCCTACTTTCCCATGTTTTTGTGTCTAACTGACAAATAGGGCCCCAATTTTTAAAATTGCTCCAGTATTGAGCGAGAGCACTACAGCCAGCAGCCATGATATGGGTCCCTGTAATCTTTCAGCACAATTGCGCACCATCAATACAGCCTCTAAAAGTGCTTGTTTTAGCCACTGGTAGGCTCAGATTAACCCTGTAAAAAAACCAAAGTCACACAATAACCCATACACACTATGGCAGCGGTAGACCAGCAACACCCACGTGCTGTGAGGTAAAATTGCTGTTTTTGTCAATGGAGTCTGGTGACTTTGAAAAGAGCAGTATAACGGATGTTTCTGATTAAACAAAAAGGATCTTACTCTTTCACAAAAAGATCCATCTTTGTAGGGGATCCTTTCTATAATGGTGACACTTAGAAAAACAATCTGAGCCCGTCAGTGGCTAAAACAAGTGCTGTTGGTGGATGTACACTGACGGTGCATAATTGCCCCAAGGATTATGTGGCAAACTGTTTCACAGCTGCCAGCTGCAGCGCTCTTACTCAATACCAGATCAAATTCAACCCATTGTCCCCAGTAATCACACAGACACAAAAATATGGCAAAATATCCAGGCTGAAAAGTAGTGAAGATTCCCTTTAACCTGACATGACCAAAATGAGAAAATGTCTCTTTAAATGATTGTTAATTTCAGTTAAAAATGTGTTGTGTGTGATTTTAAATAGCTCTGAGTGTTACTCACTTGGTTTCTTTGATTGAAGCTGCATCAGACCACAGCAGCTTGAACTGCTTTCCATCATGGAAGACTGAGATGTCCTGAGTGCTCACCTCCAGCCTCACCCCCAGCTTCTGGTGGATGATACCAAGACGGCCAAAGTATGTGTTGGTATTGGCATCCTGAACAACTTTCTTCTTGCCAATAATTTGGCCATTCACCACAAAGCCTGAAAATAGTGACAGCTTTGAGTTTGTTGTCTCTTCTCACATTTCTCACAAAAAAGAGTCGTGTGTTCTCCAAGACTCATGCCTGACCTGATTTTGGGTCTCTGACCAGGTTGAAGATGGTTCCTGGTTTGTCGTTGACGTTGAAGCACAGAGCGTCGTCTCTCTCTGGCAGCTCGATCATAAAATGAGGATCTCCGTCCACTGCATAAGCATCATTACAGTTAAATTCATACGTGGAACACTAATGATTTCATTTTTAGAGAGAAAAACAATAAACATTCATGATTCCTGTGTTTATCTAGTCTTCTATGTCTCAATAAAACATTTAAAAGAAGATTGCAGTAAAAGTGTAAGAAACCATGAAAGCATAAATATGATGAAATTATGCAATAGCTGTATGAAAAATCTTACCATTTGATCGGCTACGGGAACTGGCAGCACTTGACCGGGAGGAACCTGTTATCAAAAATAATAAAAGCATACGTCAGTAAAGTTGTTCAGCCAAAATTTAGATTCATAAAGTCATAATAATAATGTCATGTAATTAAGTAGTTAAGTAATTACGTACCCACAAGTTTCATTTTCTGGTCTGTGAAACAAGACAACAGTTAGAAAACAAACACAAAGGCTGATAGTTAGATGTCTTAAAGACAAATTATGTAACAGTCAAACTAATGCTGTATGAAAAAGCATACTATTTGATTGTCCACGGGAACTGGCAGCACTGGCTGAAGAACCTGTTATCAAAAATATCGAAAGGATACATTAATGAAGCTGTCTACGGAAGCCATGACAGGCAAGAAAGAGAAAAACACATTCTGGTCTGTCTGATCTAAATTGTTTTCCCCCCCTGTGTATGTTTATGACTTAAAGGTCCAGTGTAATGTCTGAATTGGACAAAATGTGCCAGTACCCTCATTTAGCACACTAACCCTAAACACAACATAACCCTAACCCTATTTCTTTGGCTGTTTTTAATCCATTATAACAAGGATATATTCAGTGCTGTTTTCTTAACGTTAAGCTAGCTATGTCTTTACACAGAGAGACGGTTACACAGGCACTCTAGGAGTACCTCACCAGCATTTTTGTATGTAGGGTTTCTTTATCTACAAAGGGAGCAGGTCTTGAACCTCCATGTTTCTACAGTAGCCCAAAACAGACTAACCAAACATTCTCTCTAGATAGGGTCGCTTTGTCGCAAGTTTTGTGGCCAGCATAGTTTCTCCTAAACACTTGGGAGATGAGTGTTATTCATTTGGTTGTAATCTGAAACTTAATTGCTAGATGCCACTGAAATCCTACTCAGTGGTCCTTTAAGAACAGGGGAGGAAAAAAGGTTTTGCCAATGAAGTTTTGTTTTTTGTCAAGATTACATTGTGTTTGTTGTTGTAATACTGATTTTGACCACAAGAGGCTGAAGATCACTAACCCATGTTCTATAATAGGACTAAAAACATGTTTTCTTCCAGGTGAATTTTAATTTCTCAACCAAGTACAATGTACATGTATTGTGTGTTAGCAAGTTTGTTACAAATTGTTGTTGCTGAAATTAGTATTACAACAACAAACACTTTTTTTTATACCTTTTTCACAAATGAAAACTTAAAAAAGTCGATCACCAGGATTTTTTTCCCTTACTTGCCTCTTAAGGCTTCTGTATTCAGCCCAAAATGAGATTTATAAACTATTTTATATAATTAAGTAAAAAGAGATTGTCATACTAATCTGTCTGTATCCATGTGCTGTTTGTGGCTGGCCTGTGAAACAAGGAAACAGACAACAGACAGTTAGTTGGAGGTCTTCTAATTCTAATTACACAAACTGATTAAACACATTCCTAATAATCTAACAATGTGCTTTGAAAAGAAAGAATATTGTGGTTTTCTTGTCAAGCATACATCAGTAAAGTTGTTCAGCCCAAAATGAGATTTTTAAAGTATGTCATATAATTAAGTTAAAAGAGATTGTCGTACCACTGTGTCTCTCTGCTTTCTGTCGCTGGTCTGTGAAACAGAGCAAAAGTTAGTTGAAGGTCTCAAACATGTCATAACATGACATATACTGATTCAACAGGTTTCTAATAATGTAACAAAATGCTACAGAGTTCAAAGGAGAGAATACTAGTCACTTTAGCAGTACGCTGTCACTTTTTTCTGTTTCCCTTACCCTCAGTCAGTTTATCTGCAATGAGAGGGCTGTCTGGTCCATCCTCTGTTTCAGGCTTTGTCACCACCATGGAGGTGAGGGGGGTGACGAAGGTGTATCGCAGAGCCATGTTCAAAGCCTTGGCTGTCGCAGTGTCTTTCTCCTGCTGAGTGCCAATGCCACTGGGAAGTAAATAATGAAAAAAAGGTGTTTGTTGGCTGGTTGTTTAATAATGATAATTGGCACGAGTTTCTTTGAGTAATCGACGAAACAGTAAAAACCAGCTTTTTGATTTTAGTGCAGATACAGATAACGTTTAGAGACACAATTGAGATGATCGAACCTCTTCGCCAGTAGTTGTTGGATGGTGAGGTAGGCCCACAGACGTTCTGAGAAATTCCCAAAAATGTACTCTTGTTTTGGGTAGCTCACTTCCAAGTTTACCATACTGGCCTTTCCCTGTGCCCTGAAGTCTGTTTCAGGCTAGAGAAAGAGGAGAGATTAAATAACAAATATTACTGACAAGAGAGGAAATTAAGAGTATCTTTTGACAACAACACTAAGAATCTCAAACTTCAGCCAGCTCTGTGCAGCTTTACTGAGGTAAATGCTAATATCAGCATGCAAACATGCTCCCACTGACGATGCTAACAGGATGATGGTATAATGGTATAATGTCTACCATGTTTATCATCTTAGATCAGCTTTTTAGCATGCAAACATTTACTTATTAGCACAAACTACAGCTGAGGTACCAGTTATTCCAAATACCAAAGTATTGACCTGAGGATGAAGCCTGAGGAAAAGGGACCACAAAAGTCAATAGGACTCATCCTCTGGGGCCCATAAGTACAACATTTCATGGCAATCCATCTAGTGGTTGTCAAGTGTGTTTTTTAGTATATGAGAACAGGTGCATGAGTCTCTATTCAACACCATGACTAGATAGTGTCTTATTCATGTTTTAATTGACATATTGCTGTCTATTTCTCACCCCCTTAGCAAACACCTCCACCACGAAGTTATCAGGGTCGCCGTTTATCAGCCGACCAGACACCACAATTTCTGAGCCGTTAAACAACTGGCTATAGTGGTTTTTGGTCAAGTGGTCCACTGCGTTGTCAGGATAACGCAGGTCCACGTCCAAGAGCAGAGGGCTGGACACCTCGTCATAGAAACCCTGGAAGACACATTGCACATCATACAATATCTGTTTCCCAAATGTTCTTGGAGGTGCAAACAACATAAAATACCAAACTTGCATGGACATTATATTTGCTGTAAATCAGTATTTTGTTCTCTACCTGTAGTTGAAGTGTTGCATCTGAACCCTCAAAAATTCTGCGGGCCAGTCCTTTGTTTTGTCTGCACAATACATCCAGGAAGGAGTAATCCACATCATTTCCGAATCCAAGACAGAACATAGTCATCTTCCCCCCAACAGCAGAATGCACATTCTCTTGGATCGTCTGGAGGTTAGATTCTCCTTCAAACGCACATAAATACAGGCATACATGTATTATGTATGGGAAAAGCCTTTCAGCTCCAACAAGACGGTTAATATACAACTAAGTTTATTCAAGAGCTTGTCAGTGTGAAAACTTTGAATTCTGTTATGAATTATGATTCTGCGGGCCAGTCCTTTGTTTTGTCTACTCATCACATCCAGGAAGGAGTAATCCACATCATTTCCAAATCCAAGACAGAACAGAGACATGTTTCCTCCAATAGCTGAACGCACATTTTCTTGGATCTTCGGAAGCTTAGACTCTCCTTTATACACGCATACATGTATTATGTATGGGAAAAGTTCAGATTCAGTTCCAATATGATGTTAATATTATGTTAACATGCTACTAAGATTATTCAAGAGAGTGTCAACTTTTTGAAAGCTTCAAATTCTACAATGAATCAGATGGTTGCATTTACAAATTTAAGCTGCTGTTCTTGGTCTACATACAGTGACCTCTGACCTCTGAGAATGAAATATAATCTTCCAAATTAAGACGGCTCACCATTGTTTGGCATCCCATCAGTCAGTAAAATGATCATATCCACACTCCTCTCTGGAAGTTTGTCATTTTCTCTGTCTTCCACCAGCATGCGCACTGCCCTCAGCACAGCGCCATTAATATTGGTGGCTGAAAGGCAAAGACACAAAGAGCAGATAGACATGACAGCTTCGTGAGATAACATTATCATAGAGAAAATCGAGCAACAACATTTTGGGAAATACACTTTCTTGCCAAGAGCTAGATGAGAAGGTCCATACCACTCTCATTTCAGTCCACTAAATATGAAGATACAGCCAGCATGCAGTTAGCTTAGCTTAGTATAAAGACAGGAAGCAGGCGGGAAATGTGAGCCTGTCTCTGTCCAAAAGTCTAAAAATCCACCTATTAGCAACCCTAAAGCTTACAATGAACACTTGTTTTTGTTTTTGTGTGTAAAAGTGTAAAAATGACAATTTGATGTTTTCTATGGTGTTATGAGTGCAGCCATTGTTTGGTCAGGGTAGTGAATTCCTCTAACCTCCTCTGTCCCTTAGTTCCCTGACGTAGGCAATGGCTTCAGACACATTTTCCTCTGTTGCTTTGGTAAGAGAGTCCTTCCAGGTGAAAATACTACTATCAAACAGGATGAGAGCAAAGTGATCCTCTTCATGGAGATCTTTCAGAATGGCTTCCAATGCATCTCGGGTCTGCAAAAGTTCAAAATTCACATATGAAGAATTCTATGTATGTAATGTACATTGATGCACACAGTATGGAGCTTAACAGTAGTACACAGTATTTTACCTGCTGAATCTTTCTTCCACTCATCGATCCACTCCTGTCAATCACAAACACCACATTCTTTGGGACTCTGGGCAGGTCAGGTGGAGCGAAGAAGTGCACAAAGTATCCATTCACAATCTGATGGGAAATACAGCATTTGATTAGGTCTAATATGGAAATATAACACAAGATCAGAAGTAAAATATTTTTTTTAAGTTTAAAGTTCAGTCAACAATGCTCTAAGCTACTTCCAAGAGCCTGTTTGAGTTTGGTCAACATAAGTAGGAGTAAATGTGAAAAGGGGCAGTGCTCCTGCAGGTGAATCTCATAATATAGTGCTCAGGTAGTCTGTGTTAGACACTCACCTGAACATCCCCAAGGTTTGTTTCTCGCTTCACATCATACTTGATAATGAAATCGCCATCAATTACAGTGCCTTCACATCCTGGACATTTCCTCTGTTGCTCCAGTGTTGGTGAGAAAGAGACGTGTGCCTGAGAGACAAATAGATTCATGTTAAGTGACATTAGTGGATACAGCATATATGCTTTAAAAAGTTATCATGAAATTCTTAGAAATCCTATAACAGGGGGATAGAAATCTTACAAACCCTTTACCTTTGTGTCTGTGACGGTTTTCTCCACCAGGGAGAGTAGGTCATTGGTGAGGAAAGTTGCAGTGGCCTCAACAAAAGCAAAGCCTTGGGGCTCATAGATGTCTGCTACAATCTGTCTCCACACACACACATACACACATAATCACTGAGGCAGATCAAGTGATGAATCCTTGCGACGTAAAGTCTCATTAAAGCTGCAGTGGGTAACTTTTATAAAAACACCTTTTCGTCATATTCACCTGATCTAGGAATAAGACTCAACAATCACCTTTGGTTTCGAAAAATTATTAGAAGCACTTTTCAAAGATTATCTATCTCATGTCATACTGTCAGGATATACTGAAAGTTTCAGCAATACACATGATCATTGGTGGCTCAGTGGTTAGCACTGTCACCTCACAGAAAGAAGGTCCTTCGTTCAAATTTCTGTGTGGAGTTTCCCTGCCATCAAAACATGTACGGTTAATTCTCCAGTCTCAGGTCTGGAGTTAGTTAGGTGTCTCTTGGTATCTAGAATGGGTCAAACGCAGAGGATGAATGTCCCTACAAGATTAAGGAGGATAACTTAACAAAAATGTACTGCAGCTTTAATGATGACACAAAAGTCCTCACATTTTGCATTCCTAGAGCTGGAGATATTTTTTTGATCTCCTCCTGACCAGTATGTCACTAATAAGAAAATAAAAGAGGAGAGGGTGTTCAACCTGAAACTCCTGCACCCGTTGCTTTGGTGTAACTCGGGTCAGAATCTCATACTGGCCCAGTTTCCTCTGAAGGAGCTCCTCGTAGGTCAGAATGAAAGTCACGCTGCTTTTGGCTGCAATGTTAACAGACACTGAAAACTTTTCCATCTTTCTTCCAGAAGCCCTGTAATGACGGACATTACTGTAACGTGATGTTCACACCGCCACCACACGTTCCAACCATACGGTAACTTCTCTCAGTCCAACTCACTTGACCAGTCCAGCAGTCTGTCCAGAGGAAACAGCCTTCTCATACTCTTTCTTGGCTTTCTCTTTCTCCTTCACCTCCCCAACATACACCTGACCATCAATTTCCCTGTGAGGCACAAAGACATTTGTCAAACATAGAGAAAGGCGAGGTCTATGCTCACTGTCACAAGTCCTGTGTTTTGACTGACATGCTGAAGTTGGTGATGAAGGCGGTCTTGGGCAGCTCCATTTCAAAGAAGATTTCCTGGGAGGTGTTTGCTTTGTTCAGAGCCTTGGAGGTCACGACGGTGTGAGCGAAACGAGACGTTACAGTGCAGCCCACTGTCACACTGTACACCTCAACCGTCTGAAAGGATGGACCAAGAGAGAGAGAGAAGTTTGGCATGCAAGACATTGTGTGACATTAGAGCAAACAAAAAAGACCAGTGGCCAGGAGGACTGGCAACTCTCTACTGAATTCTGGGTCAGATGTCACGAGGAATGTCCCGAAATGATTCATGTCAAAAACAGAGGTCACTGTTCTGTGAACACAACGTAAGATAAAACTTTTAGCGCTTGTCATACTGACAAACACAGAAAGGAATAAAACACAGATGGACAAATCACTTCCAGTTTCCCCTTCCTGTTTATTGTCTCCAGTAAAGTGAAGAGAAAATAAATGCATGCCTGTGGACGCCAGGGAGGGAGAATGGAACATGTGGCATCTGGAAGCAATGAGGTTTAAAGAAAATGTGGACATAAAAACAATAGCACTACTGTGAGATAGAAGCTACCAGTCCTCTTGATCATGATCTCATGTGTATTAAACAATCATATCCAGGTTTCACAATTAACTTACCAAGGATACATTAACATGAACGTATAAATGCCTTGTTGTTAGGAAAGGTCATACCTCTATGATGATTTTAAAATTTTGTATCAATATCAAAATCTTTTCCTTACATTTGCAGAGTTTGTGCTTCTTTTCTGGTGAAGAAAGAGACAAAAATATGCATTTATTTTCACAGTCAGAACTGTTCTCACAAATATTTTATGCTTGTATTTTAAGATGAGTACCTTTATTGACTTGCTGCCCATGGCCTCTATGCTCTCCTGGAACAAAACATAGCAGAACTGCATGGTTATTGAGAAAGAAAAGACAGAATTGGAAAGAAATGTGCACTACTAAACTCTCTGCCATCACTAAACTGCCCTGAATGTTTAGCATTAGTTACAGCCAGGCACAAAAAACAGATTTCCACGCTTTTCTGTACCAACAAGGGATTAGAAGTGCTTATCTAAAGTATCCATGCTTTGGAAACTGTTCATCTTTTTCATTAAAGCTGCCACCTCCATGTTTCAAAAAACATCTTTTAAAGAAAGTCTTTTAAGAATATTAAGTAAGCATTGCAGTGACATGTCTGGAAAGCAAGGTGTGACCCCAGGACCAGACAAAGGACTCAATGCAGGTGTGGGAAAGGGTCACACAACAAACAAACTGGCAGGCAGGGTAGGCTGGGAAGCAACACTGACAATCTGGCATACTGGAGTGGTGAACTGGGCTTTATATCTACTCAATGGGAGCAACTAGTGGAGGCTGAGTTATGACAAGTTCTGAGAGGAGAGGCCATGTTTAGTTAAACAAACTGATGTGTGGGTGGGAGACCACGAGAGGAAAGGAAGAAAGAGGCAAACTGATGGCTCTGAAACTCCTTTAACAGAGTTCTTTTTGTGTAACTGTTGAGCAAAATGGTGAATGTCCTGACTGACTACTGTTTGCTTGTGAGACAGACTGGCTCACTGTGTGTTTTTGGACAAAATGTTGCAATCCTGACAAAACTGTGGGGAAATCGTCAACCCAAAACAGCGACACAAGATCTCATTGTGATACACATACACCACACATGTTCCTGGAGAATACAGTGTCTCCACCGCCTTGATTCTGGGGTGCTTTTCTGTTTTTCTGCACAGTCTTGGTATCTCTGCCCTCTAAACAGATCTTCTTTTATTCCCTTTGCAGGAAAAAACACTGTTCCTGTCTGACATGGCACGCAAAGCACATCATTCATTTTCATGGTTGAGTCTATGTGTTGTTTCTTGTTTCTCATTACAACCATCAGATGGACTATTCCGTAGTGTAAAGGTAAGATTACATAGCATCACAATAAATAGCCAAGTAGCCTAACTACAAACTGGTTTTAATTTCCTGTATAATACATTTTTCATATAATTTTTCATCGATGCATAGCGGAAACAACTGATGTAACTTTTAGGCAGCAATGTTGGTGTTGTTGCCTATTGAAGGAGCAGGCTGTGTCATGTGTATTTGGAAGCCCGATTAATGCTTATAACTTCATAACACAACAATTAATAACTCGCAACTATCTCTCTTTAACAGGGCAAAACACCATGGCACACAACCATTTGACAGTGAGTTTCTTACTTGTGCAATAGAAAATTGCAAAAATCTGAATACTTACATACTTATATATAAAATATTATATATAAAACAGTGCTTATATATCTAGTTTTGAATATTTTGTTTTGAAAAGGAAGCAATGTTAAAGTTGTTGACATGTTTTCTGTTTTTACTGCGTTGCAGTTTGCACAAAATAAATTGTTTACATTGTGCAACTGTTTGATGCAATCTGATTTCTTTATATATTGTATCATCTTGTGGGGCCAAGAAAACCCTACAGTAATCGAGCCTTCAATATGTACATAATGACATTAAAATGTTTGTATATTCCGTGTACTCCTGAGAGTAGAATAAGCCACTATAAACATATATAAAGGTCAAGTCATGCAAAAAGACAAAACCTTAAAAAAAACACATGATACAAATGTTTTTGCCATACCACTCAGCACTAATTTGTCACTGATCTGAACATTTACATTGGTGGGTCTCTGCTGACTGCATCTGTTTATCTGATGTCTAGGCCAAGGAGCAAGGATGTAGAAGCATTTCAAGGGCACTGATTTCTGTTATTATAAATGCTCCCTCTTTTTTCATTTTGTAGCCATATATCTTACTATTGCGTATGTTTCTGTTTATGTGAAGTCTAAGAGGAGGTAAAGTGTCCACAGTACGTATGTAAAGTAATTCAGCAACAATATTTGATTTGATGTTTCATTATGTATCGTTAACATAACATTCATACAAATATGGCAAAGTTTGCACAGAATGAAAACATCCACTATCCTTCCTTGCGATGTGAAAATAAAACTTATCTGCCATCTCTGGCACGAGTCAAGGGCTACTGTACTGATTCAAGTGCGCATGTGCAAGAGTTTTGCAGAAAATCTAGGCTCACTATCTAGACACGACCGTTTTTAAAGGAAAACTCAAACTCTTACAACTTATGCAAACTTTTACCAACAGTGCACAGACTCATCACTAATGAGGTGTCAGCTCAGCATAGAAAATAGCAAAACAGTGTTTGTTTACATGCTGATGCTGCACATGCAGCTTATTGTAAATACCTGTTTTGGAGCATCTCTGCGGGAAACGACCAGAGCCCCCTGGGCCTGAGCTGGAAGCCAGAGACAGACGCAGACCCACAGCAGCATGACTCTCCACACTGTTGACATGCCTGGGAAACAGAAAAGCCTCTTCTCCTGCATGGCTGAAAACAAGTGTGTTGGGAATTCTAGGCATGTGGGGATCAACTCTACCCATAAGAGTTATACTCCGCCCACATTATGTCCTCTCCACTATGCAGGAGGAGGGGCACTGTGTGATGTTTGTGTGAGTCAGTGTGCGTGGTTTCCAGTAAATTGGTACTTGTGCGTGTGTGAGTCTCTCGGGGGGACTGAGGCCTGTAAGAATGTATAGAAGAGTTCAACAACTCAAGTTATTTTTTACCTAGTCCCGACTTGCCTATCTAGTGTTTCATTTCAGGGTGTGTGTGTGTGTGTGTGTGTGTTTACTGCATGCAAGTGCAGGTTATGTGAATAATGGGATTTTCCCTTTCATGAATGTATTTATTTCTTCTCCACACACTGAGACGTGAATGAGGTTCATGATGTCACCACAAAATGTCAACCGCTAATTAAACTAACATTAAATCCTGTTAAGTGTTGATATTTCCTGTAGTAAAACAATGATCATAGTCTGTTTGACCATGAAGAAAGGTTTCAGTAATTTGTCACCACTCTTTATTTATTTATTTGGTATCATTTAGTTCAGGATTACAGTAGTCTTCACATAAACTGTAACATACCTTTTCATCAGAGTAGCTCCTGACAAAACACTTTAATCTTTAATTTAATAAAGCAGAGAATTGCATTTTAAAGTCAACTTGAGGGGAAAAGGAGAAATAACAAAGCAAAGAACTGAAAAACATTAACTAAACAGGCTTTTCTGTCATAGGAAACAATGAAAAATGAAAATAAATCAGTAAATCCAGCTTGAGTCCATATTTAAGAAGTGTGTCCCATTTATTTCAATAAATTGTAAAGTCCACTGCAGGTGACACCAGAGTATAATCACAGTATAAGCTCAAACATGCTGATGACGACATTTCAACAACACCAAGAGTCGTCAGTCATGCTAGCAGCTCTGTTAGGCTAGGCCAGCTAACATGCTCACAGTGGCCATTTCAGTTCAGTTCAGTTAGCTTTTTTAGTTTTACCATACTAACATTTGCTAATTAACTCGAAACAAAAGGTACCCTGTACACTGTAGCTGTCTATTAAGTTAATTGCAATGCTATTAGTTTTACAGTTATATGATCACAAACTAAAGGATTGGATAAATAAAAAATGTGACGAGTGGCATCACCCATTACATGTAAAGTTAGTATCACCAAAGTTATTACAATTCATCCTGATGGACATGAATGTGTGCACCATATCTCATGACAATCCAAGTAGTTGTAGGAAAATTTCACCCAAAACTAAAAATGTCGAGCTCATGGTAGCGCTAGAGGAAGTCACGGGATCACCAAAGTCTGTGGGAGTCTGTAGACCATTTGAGGATACATTGATGATATGATTTCATTGAATATACAGAACTGATTAACAAAGGATTTTCATAGATGTATTGGCTAATCAGGTACATGTATTTAATTACTATGTAAAGATGAATTCTTATAGAAATATAGAGTTAATGTTTAACATGTTTGTAATCTGGAACCGCTCCATTGCTTTTAAAATTATGACTAAAACCCTATTTTGAGGTCACAATAACCTTTGACCTTTGAGCCACAAGTTAAGTCTGTCTCTGACCAACTTTGAAACATGGTCATAATTTCCCCTTATGTCCCTGGGTTAGAGAGAGGACCACAGGAGACACAGGGAAGGGGGAAACATAAGGAAACAGGAACACAGTGGAGCACTGCCGTGGCCACGACACACTAACAATAAGACAAAGATTAAGGATTGCCTGCTATTGACTCTATTTATTCTGCTTCACTCAACCCATTTGCATGTATGTGTACAAGTGCAAACAGACATCATGTCCTTTCATGCTGTATTGTGTTTGCAGGCAGAACATCATGTTGATGAAATGAATGAAGAGGTCAAGTTGATGAGGTTACTTGCCATGGAAATGATCCTCTTTTGTAACTTACTACCTCACAATAACAAAAAGATGAATAAATTCAATACAGGGGGAAATTATTTATTTAGGAAACTTTATCAGAGATTAACAAACCCAAAACAAGTCTGATGCACTGTGCAGATTGCAATGTGTAAATAGCTGCTGCAGTTAGTCAGTGCCAGGCAATTTGAGGAGGAAGAAAAAGAAGAAGGAACCAAATGTACCATTAAACCTAATAGTCATGTGTCTCTAATTTACACAAACAGTCTGAGGAGGTAACACATTTAGGCTGCATCACCCAGTTATTGAACACAACCTTTGCCACCAATAGCATGTCATGTTCAAGCTGCGCTGCCTGTAGAAACAGAAAAACCATGTGGCTTCAAACTAAAACCACCAGGGTGGTGATAACAGGTTTCCATGCATGTACAGGTAGATTTCAAACTAGCATCAAAAATTCATTTATGAATATAAAATGATGTGTACTTCATCTTACAACACAGAGAAGTCTGTCATTTATTTATTCAAAGATTGATTCTTCCCTAAGTGACAGACTGATGTTGCCCTATTTCCACTGACTGCAATAGTTAACATCAGGATAGATTTCAAATGTTGTCAGACATTCTGTTTTTGAGAAATTATTCAGACAATTCAAAAAGCAGTGTTAAAAAGCTCTGACACAACGTAGTCTGAGGCTCTCCCGTCAATGAGGCCTGTTCCATCATTGTTAACAAACCAGCAGGGAATATTTTCTCCATCCTTCATATGGCTGCTGAAGTCCTTCTGCCAGTGTCTGAGGAAGAAATTAAAGAAATCAATGGAGAGGTGCATACATGCAAAAAGAAATGCTCTTTCACCTTCCATGCATTGTGTGTGGTGAGTCATAAGCTTTATGAGGCACCTGGTCACGTTGAGTGTTTGTCCCTTCACATACATGGTGGCATCTAAGTTCTCCTGGAGCTCACCCGGACGCAGGTCTGTCACCTCAAACTCAACCCCATGGTAGAACTGACCTGCAGGAAGACAGCTTACTTCACATCTTTTGATTTACTCAGAATAAGGAATAAGTCAAACAGCTACACAATCAATGCATCATGATTTTAACGTCTGTGGCAGCTCTCTACCTAGCAGACCATGAACCGAGGCAGACAGGTGGTGGCTGTCCAGGGTGTAAAAACCCAGGTAGTCTTGATGTTCCCGACGTCTCTTCCAAACTTTCTTGTGTCTAATGACCATAAATTTAACCGAGTGCCTCAGTGTCACTGTCAGGCAGCAGTTCTTAGTCAGGCTGAAGTCCACACTGGAGGAGAGACAAAAACGTTGTGACCAATAGGTGACAGCAAGACAATAGAACCGTTTTCACTTTTCACAAAAAATTATGCTGTTTTTTCCTGAATTACTGAGATACCTCCAACATGCTCTCCATGCCCATTCCTGGCTCTCAGCCACCCTGAGCCGAACCAAAATCCTGTATCCATCCTCCACTGAGCTCCAGCGGGCTCATGCAGGACTGTGTATCACCTATACTTCACACCCTGGAGATCAGCCTGGTCCATGTCCACACCAAATGCCTGTTCTTATCTGTGTGTGTGGACAGTGGGTGTCCCACCCAACGGGCATGGAGAGCGAGCTGTAGGTATCTCGCTAATTCAGAAAAACCTATTTTCTTTTAGGTGAATTTCTTACGTTTCTGTACAGGACAGCAAAAGTTTTGATTATTTATTCTTGATTATTATTTGTGATTCACAGAAGCCATGTGGAGAAAAAGGGATTTAAGTAGATGTACAATTTCAGTGTTGATAGTGCGATAGTGTACATTGGATTAGATGAAGTTCCAGAGAGCACACCTCCCTGCCCTTCCATGTGCATACATGGAAAAGTTTAAGACAAGGAAAGCAGCAGCAGAGACCCCCCAGGGTACAGAACAGAGCAAGCATCAATGCAATCAGAAAATGACATTGATTTGTTAGATACAACATAAAAAGGAGGAGCTGGGGTGGAGGTGGGTTGCAAAACGGCTTGTAGAGGAAGCAGCAAAGATAGGCAGGCTAAAGCAGCTTAAATAAGGCGCCATGAATGATATTTGCCAATTGGATGCTTGAGGGAATCAGCTGAGCTGTCAGCTGATGTGTGTTTACGATTAGCTGTGATCATATGATAGAGCTGGAATGAGAGCTGAGCCTGACTTTGTGGCCTGCCTGAACACTATGCTTAATTTTTGGTATACTGTAGGGGTGGTACCTTTAAGATATAACAATAGAACCTTGTTTTGTGTGCTTAGAACAGATATTATGTTATAAAGTTAAAAAATGTGTTGTTGTCCTTTAAATAATAGTTTCAGTGTTACTCACTTGGTTTCTTTGATTGAAGCTGCATCAGACCACAGCAGCTTGAACTGCTTTCCATCATGGAAGACTGAGATGTCCTGAGTGCTCACCTCCAGCCTCACCCCCAGCTTCTGGTGGATGATACCAAGACGGCCAAAGTATGTGTTGGTATTGGCATCCGGAACAACTTTCTTCTTGCCAATAATTTGGCCATTCACCACAAAGCCTGAAAATAGTGAGAGCTTTGAGTTTGTTGTCCCTTCTCACATTTCTCACAAAAAAGAGACGTGTGTTCTCCAAGACTCAGGGCTGACCTGATTTTGGGTCTCTGACCAGGTTGAAAATGGTTCCTGGTTTGTCGTTGACGTTGAAGCACAGAGCGTCGTCTCTCTCTGGCAGCTCGATCATAAAATGAGGATCTCCGTCCACTGCACAAGCATCATTACAGTAACATTCATATGTGGAACACAAATGATTTCATTTTAAAGAGAAAAACAATAAACATTCATGATTCCTGTGTTTAATCAATCTAGTCTTCTGTGCCCCAATAAAACCTTTTTGTTTTTAAGCCTTTATTTGAAAGGACAGGTGGAGATAGACAGGAGGGGGGATGACATGCAACAAAAAAGGGCTGCAGATCAGAATCGAACCTGTGCCACTGTGGTAAAGACTCATCCTACGTGGGGCAGGAAGTCTACCAGGTAAGCTCAATAAAACCTTTACCAGAGGATTTCAGCAAAAGTGGCAAGAACAATGAATGGATGAATATTATAACAGTGTGCAATATTCAAAGTAAAGCTGTGTGAAAAATCTTACCATTTGATCGGCTATGGGAACTGGCAGCGCTTGAACCTGTTATCAAAAATAATAAAAGCATACGTCAGTGAAGTTGTTCAGCCCAAAATGAGATTAATAAAGTCATAATAATAATGTCATGTTATTAAGTAGAAAGAGTTTGCCGTACTCGTATCTCTCTGTGATGCCTGTCGCTGGTCTGTGAAACAAGAAAACACACAAAAACAGTTATTTGGAGCTTGTTCTACTTACTACTACTTCTACTACTTACATACTGATTCAAGAGGTTTCTTTTAATGTAAAAACATGCAGCACTAGTCAGTAAACACCTCCTTGTCAGTCTAGAGCAGTCTAGGCTTCAATTCACCATTAAACAGGCTATAGTTTATTTAAGTACATAGAATTTACATTACTCTATATGCAAAATATTAAATATTTAAATTGTATGCCACCAGCATTTAGACACAATATAAAAAGGAGATACATTAACTTCCATGTAATAAAGGTTGAGGTACAATTGGCATAAATTACATAAATAACATAATACCCTTTAAAGGACCAGATTGTAGGATTTAGTGGCCTCTACCAGTGCGATCGCAACCAAATGAAACCCTGTGACACAACCAACCATGAAGGACAAACTACAGTGGCCGTAATACTTGCAAAAAATGTGAAAGGCCATATCTGCAGCCAGTGTTTTGTTTGTCTGTTCTGGGCTACTGAAGAAACAGTGGTTCAACATAACGGCCTCCATGGAAGAGGACCCACTCCTTCTGTACAGCACATATGCATTATTGCTAGAATCAGCCTAAGATCATGGTTCAAACTACGAGGACACAACCCAAATATTATGGCTGCACAATAAACTATGCACACATTCATCCACAATAGACTAAAAACAGAGCAACAGCAAGGAGTGATGGCCAACAAATTCCACGGATAGCAAGACATTAAGACCAATAACAGGCATTATTATGACTTACATTTTGTGCATCACACATAACTTCAACTTCAAGTCCAAAAACGGGTACATAGACCAGTACCAGCTGTTATGGTCCTTCCTCTTCAGCTGGCAAAGTACAAGTGATGAGCGGGAGGACCCGTGGCTTGATTCTCAACACTGAGTGGTCTGGTCAGGCGTCTTAGGAAAGAGATAATGTTCTGGCCTTTTCTACACCTACCCTCAGTCAGTTTATCCGCGATGAGAGGGCTGCTTGGTCCGTCCTCAGTGTCAGGCTTGATGACCACCATGGAGGTGACAGGCGTGACAAAGCTGTATTGCAGTGACATTTCCAGGGCTTTGCCTATCATTGTGTCCTTATCCTGATGAGTACTAATGTCACTGGGAATAAGAATCAAGAGTTGGTTGATTGTTGATGATAATGACATATCATGTCTGCATCACAAAATGATCTTTATATTATCTTATAGTCTGAAACCTGCAGGGTTAGTGTGCAGGTAAAGCTGACAGACAATTCAGATGGTCGAACCTGTCCTCCAGTAGCTGTTGGATGGTGAGGTAGGCCCACAGACGCTCTGAGAAATCTCCAAAGATGTACTCTTGTTCAGGGTACATAACTTCCAAGTTTACCACACTGGCCTTTCCCTGCACAATGTAGTCCATTTCAGGCTAGAGAAGGAGGAGAGGTTAAGTAAGGGATAATGCCCAATGAGGTGTCCTTTATCAGGAATTAATGGCGCCCTGCGAAGACAATATATGACAATATGCTATGGTACAAAGGGCATATATTACTGACATGAGAGGAAATTAAAGGTATCTTTTGATAACAACACTAAATGTCCACAGCAACACTAGCAGCTCTGTGTGTGTGTGTGTGTATAGTCAAATCTTAAGTTAGCTAATGTTAGTAAAACGCTAGCTAGCTAACGTACATCAATCATTAGCTAGCGTTTTCTGAAAAATTAGCTATCAGATGTAACTAGCTATCTAATAATTAATGCAGATAAGCCAGCTAGTTAGCTCTGTGGCAAAACACTAGCTAGCCAGCTAAATAACCAGATAGTGATTGAGATTAGCTGTAACTACGTGAGCCAATGTTACAATACAGGTACCACACAGAAACCTTTACAAATGGCTGTCAGTGTGTTTCTAGTGGACTTGAGAGTCAGACAGCAGCTGCAAACGGCTGCCATAAGGCCATAGAGTGTGTGACGTGTTAAATTTGCTCGAAGGGAGCTAGCAGAATTTAGAGGTCTTAGTTACACTTGCTTTGAAACTAGAGTTGTCCATTCACTGCCATGACTAGATAGTGTCTTATTCATGTTTTAATTGACATATTGCTGTCTATTTCTCACCCCCTTAGCAAACACCTCCACCAAAAAGTTATCAGGGTCGCCGTTTATCAGCTGACCAGACACCACAATCTCTGAGCCGTTAAACAACTGGCTATAGTGGTTTTTGGTCAAGTGGTCCACTGCGTTGTCAGGATAACGCAGGTCCACGTCCAAGAGCAGAGGGCTGGACACCTCGTCATAGAAACCCTGGAAGACACATTGCACATCATACAATATCTGTTTCCCAAATGTTCTTGGAGGTGCAAACAAACATAAAATACCAAACTTGCATGGACATTATATTTGCTGTAAATCAGTATTTTGTTCTCTACCTGTAGTTGAAGTGTTGCATCTGAACCCTCAAAAATTCTGCGGGCCAGTCCTTTGTTTTGTCTGCACAATACATCCAGGAAGGAGTAATCCACATCATTTCCGAATCCAAGACAGAACATAGTCATCTTCCCTCCAACAGCAGAATGCACATTCTCCTGGATCGTCTGGAGGTTAGATTCTCCTTCAAACGCACATAAATACAGGCATACATGTATTATGTATGGGAAAAGCCTTTCAGCTCCAACAAGACGGTTAATATACAACTAAGTTTATTCAAGAGCTTGTCAGTGTGAAAACTTTGAATTCTGTTATGAATTATTATTCTTGAACATTGTGCACAAGTTCCAAAAGTAAGTCTTCATTCACTGAGAACTTTTCCATCTTAAGGGACAAGTCCCTTTTGACTACCTTTTCCCTTTTCACAGATTGTTACCTTCATGTAAGACTAGTTTTAAGCTGCTGTCCTTGGTCTACATACAGTGACCTCTGACCTCTGAGAATGAAATATTATCTTCCAAATTAAGACGGCTCACCATTGTTTGGCATCCCATCAGTCAGTAAAATGATCATATCCACACTCCTCTCTGGAAGTTTGTCATTTTCTCTGTCTTCCACCAGCATGCGCACTGCCCTCAGCACAGCGTCATTAATATTGGTGGCTGAAAGGCAAAGACACAAAGAGCAGATAGACATGACAGCTTCGTGAGATAACATTATCGTAGAGAAAATCGAGCAACAATGTCTCAAAATACATTTAGATATACAGCTAGATAAGAAAGGTTCCTACAACTCTCATTTCTAAATATGAAGAAACAGCCAGCAACTTAGCTTAGTATAAAGACAGGAAGCAGGGAAAATGCTAGCCTGTCTCTGTCCAAACATCTAAAAATCCACCTATTAGCAACCCTAAAGGTCGCAAATTAACACTTTATATCTTGTTGGTGTTGTGAGTGTGGTCATTTCTTGGCCAGGGCAGTAACTTCCTGGAGTCTCCACATGTTTCCTGGCAAGTTCACGGTCATGACTAGACTAGACATCTTTATGCTAAGCTAAGTCATCTGACTCTTGTTGACAAATTGTAAAATTTATATTTGAATTGGATTTCTTGTCATCTGAAGTGCACACCAGCTTTTATGCCAAACAACATTTGGCATAAAAGCTGGTATCACTTGTTTTCCTCTAACCTCCTCTGTCCCTTAGTTCCCTGACGTAGGCAATGGCTTTAGACACATTTTCCTCTGTTGCTTTGGTAAGAGAGTCCTTCCAGGTGACAATACTACTATCAAACAGGATGAAAGCAAAGTGATCCTCTTCATGGAGATCTTTCAGAATGGCTTCCAATGCATCTCGGGTCTGCAAAAGTTCAAAATTCCCATATGAAGATGTACATTGATGCACACAGTATGGAGCTTAACAGTAGTACACAGTATTTTACCTGCTGAATCTTTCTTCCACTCATCGATCCACTCCTGTCAATCAAAAACACCACATTCTTTGGGACTCTGGGCAGGTCAGGTGGAGCGAAGAAGTGCACAAAGTATCCATTCACAATCTGATGGGAAATACAGCATTTGATTAAGTCTAAATAATAAAATATAAACCAAAAGCACAGCTTTACAAACCTTCGAATAGCTAGGGAGTTAAATTTTTTTATCCTAAGGTTCATGTAATTATTGTGAGAGATGCAGTTTTCCTGCAGGTGAATTTTATAAAATTGTGCTTCTGTTTCTTTTTATGTGAAGATGAAACCATATTATCATCACCGTGTTGTTACTGCTGTTGAATTCCCCCAGATGCAAATTCAAAAGATGCACTGCAGAATTATTTCCTGGGTGTATACACATTTAAATGTTATTATGAATTTGATTATTTGTTTCTTTCATTTTGTCATACAACCTTGTGTTGTATAATAATAAATACATTTCTTCGATTCCTTAAATCTGGAGTCTTTTGTGCTGCTGCAAATTCTGTTGACTGCTCACCTGAACATCCCCATGGCTCTCTTCTCGCTTCACATCATACATGATGATGAAATCTCCATCAATTAGGGTGCCTTTACATCCTGGACATTTCCTCTGCTGCTCCCGTGTTGGTGAGAAAGAGATGTGTGCCTGAGAGACAAATAGATTCATGTTAAGTGAAATTAGTGGATACAGCATTTGTGCTTTCAAAAATTCAAAAAGTCTTTAAAGGAACAATGTGTAAGACACCTGGGGTCTTGCCTGATTCTGTTTTCATCATCAGCTTTTTACAGACAAGAGGAGAGCTCAGAGTTTCTTCTTTTGTAAAGGGGATTTGTCTTTACTCTCATTCTCAACCTGGCTGCAGTTGCACTGCTGTTATTGTAACTGTCTGTGGGCACCCAGAGCACTACTACTTCATATATATACAGAGACCGGACTAAAAAGGAGATTAAAAATATGTGTCTGATTCAAGCTCATGATTTTGCTTTACAATGAATTAAGTTAGCATAGCTCTGATCGATCTGAATTCCTTTCAGAAAAAAAGCATTTCAAAAGTTGTTTGCGTGTCTCCTTGGGGACGGACCTGACAAAATATCAATTCAGACTTTTTACAAATTGCCATCATGATGTAGATGTTTCAACATCCTTGTGATCCGTTTATCACAATTAAATCAAATCTGTCCATTATGGGTTCATACCACTCTAGTAAGTAGATTCAGCAGCAAATAAACAGAAATGATCCCAGGGTCATATAATAATCCCCTGGCATTACCGTTAGAGTAAGAGTTTGGAACATCGGCTATACATTTTGGGGACATCGCAAGGTTTATTATACATTTAAAACTGTAAGCAATCTTCAACAGTGTCATGGCATCATTGGTGGAAGGAGGTCAAATGCTGCCCCCTATTTTCTGGAGCTGTGGCCAGAGTTACAAGGGGATAGAAGTTTCTAATCCTTTACCTTTGTGTCTGTGACGGTTTTCTCCACCAGATAGAGCAGCTCATTGGTGAGGAAAGTTGCAGTGGCCTCAACAAAAGCAAAGCCTTGGGGCTCATAGATGTCTGCCACAATCTGTCTCCACACACACACGAACACATAATCACGATCAAGTGAGGAATCATGATGACATAAAAGTCTCATTGATGATGACACAACGTCCTCATACTTTGCATTCCTAGAGCTGGAGAGCTGTTTTCCAGCTCCTCCTGACCAGTATGTCACTATTAAGGAAATAAAAGAGGAGAGTGTGTTCAACCTGAAAGTCCTGCACCCGTTGCTTTGGTGTAACTCGGTTCAGAATCTCATACTGGCCCAGTTTCCTCTGAAGGAGCTCCTCGTAGGTCAGAATGAAAGTCACGCTGCTTTTGGCTGCAATGTTAACAGACACTGAAAACTTCTCCATCTTCCTTCCAGAAGCCCTGTAATGATGGACATTACTGTAACGTGATGTTCACACCGCCACCACATGTTCCAACCATACTGTAACTTCTCTCAGTCCAACTCACTTGACCAGTCCAGCAGTCTGTCCAGAGGAAACAGCCTTCTCATACTCTTTCTTGGCTTTCTCTTTCTCCTTCATCTTGCCAACATACACCTGACCGTCAATTTCCCTGTGAGGCACAAAGATGGAGAATGACATGAGGAAACTTAAGGAAACTGGTCAAACTCTAACTGTATCATTAAGAAAAATCAACTGGGAAACAGAGCAGGGATAAATGCTGTCACACACAAATGGTCACAATACAAGGAGGAACAGAGTGAACATCTGAGTGGAGACACACTGACATGCTGAAGTTGGTGATGAAGGCGGTCTTGGGCAGCTCCATTTCAAAGAAGATTTCCTGGGAGGTGTTTGCTTTGTTCAGAGCCTTGGAGGTCACGATGGTGTGAGCAAAACGAGACGTTACAGTGCAGCCCACCGTCACACTGTACACGTCCACTGTCTGAAAGGATGGACCGAGAGAGAGAGAAATTTGGCATGCAAGACATCGTGTGACATTAGAGCAAACAAAAAAGACCAGAGGCCAAGAGGACTGGCAACTCTCTACTGAATTCTGGGTCAGATCTCACAAGGAATGTCCCAAAATGATGCCAGGGAGGGAGAATGGAATAGTGTTTATCGGTTCTAGGCAGGCTAATGTAGAAACATGGTGGTTCAACTCCATGGAAAGCGACCCTCGGTATCTGTAGAATCTTCTAAGCTAATAAAAACAAAATGATTCCTATAATCAGGTAATTTACACTAATGAAAACACAACAATCAATATTATATTCCATTTCTGCCAATAGATCCTCCTCAATGTTATAGAACATGAGTTCTTCATAAAAACAATAGCACTACTGTAAGAAAGAAAGCTACTGGTCCTCTTGAGTATTGAATTATCACGTTCACATTAAACAATTAGATAGATAAATAAAATAAGAACAATAGAAAATAAATAAATAGAGATCTGACACAGTGTACCAAAAGACATCCCCCAGCTTGACTCTGACCACCCTGACCGAGACAGCTGGAGGAGTTGTAGAGTCTTACTGCAGCAGGCAGAAAAGATCTCCTATAGCGCTCCTTAATTAACTTACCAAGGATACATTAACATGAACGTATAAATGCCTTGTTGTTAGGAAAGGTCATACCTCTATGATGATTTTAAAATTTTGTATCAATATCAAAATCTTTTCCTTACATTTGCAGAGTTTGTGCTTCTTTTCTGGTGAAGAAAGAGACAAAAATATGCATTTATTTTCACAGTCAGAACTGTTAAATATTTTATGCTTGTATTTTAAGATGAGTACCTTTATTGACTTGCTGCCCATGGCCTCTATGCTCTCCTGGAACAAAACATAGCAGAACTGCATGGTTATTGAGAAAGAAAAGACAGAATTGGAAAGAAATGTGCACTACTAAACTCTCTGCCATCACTAAACTGCCCTGAATGTTTAGCATTAGTTATAGCCAGGCACAAAAAACAGATTGTACCAACAACTGTACACTCTACAAAGTAACTGAGTGGCCCTATTATCACCACTTAATTAAATGCATGGTTGCAAGTTAAAAATTATAATATATTGATTTAGATCAACCTTTTAAGTTGCAAAAAAATATTGCAAAAGAGTTGTGTTGATATAATAATGTTGGTAATTACGTCAACTTAATATTGTGCGTTAATTGGTTCAAAATAAAAGTCAAGTTGTAATAACTTTAAAAAAATTGCTTGATAACTTCATTTTTCTCCACCTTGAGTTCAGCATTTCAAGTCCCCTCCCCTACCCACATCACATGCCTGGGCAAATTCAAACAGTTAAGACTCTGTTTTAGAGGACCTGTAGGCTGAGCGAATACATCATACAAAGGACATTTTTGAGGTGAGTACATTTTTTTTGCAAATAAATTCTTCCATGAATTTTGGCATATTCTCAATTGTGATTTGACCAGCAGTGGACTTGTGACTGAAGGTTAGGCTACATCTGTTAATACAGTTAATGGTATATGTTGTACTAATAAACATAGTTAAGGCTATTTATATTTAGCAGCGTAGTTTAGCCATTCTACCCTTCAGTGTAGCACAGCAGTGGATACGAATGATAAAGTTTTATTTAGCAAATCTGGTCAGCTTGAGAGAGCCTTTTATTTGAGCCATGGAGAGGAATAGCATGATACTTATTATGTGTTTAGCTGTAAACTACATTGCTGTTTGTATTTATTAAACTGGATAAAATGTAATGCTTTAGCAGGGTACTTGACTGGCCCATCTTATTGCCTGGTCTTTGGTTCCAAGTTGCCCCTATGGAGAGCGACTACTTGGAACAAAATGGCAGTCAATGATAGTGGGTCATTTCAGTGCCCTGTTTTTTTAACCACTGTATGTCAGAGTTCACATATGTTGAGGAGTTGTTCCTCTTTAACTAATGTGTTGAACGAGTATGAATCAATGCAGTATAGCTTATTGTCTGCAAGACTGAATTCTTCCGTTTGTGAGGTCTACAGATAAATAAAGAATTCCAGAGAAAATGGCCAGACTTGACCATTGCACATAAAAAATGATGGATGTAGTCGCATCAAGGACAGGAGCTACAGGAGTGACAATTAGACATATAAAAGACATGCTTCTCGAGGTATGGAAATGATTAGGCTTATCTTTGTTGACAGTTACCAATTCAGATTATATTTGGTTAGTTACTTTCTTTTTCTTAGCCCAATACAACTAAAGTACACAGAGACGTAGCTATCCACTGCCTTGGAGAGAAGGAAGAGGACCGTTCTCAAGGAGTTTAGAGTAAGTAATTCAACATCTTGAAAGAAAATGAAATCCACATTGGGCAGTGTAAATACACAGGGCAGAAATCTGCTCCTTGTCCATTAAAGTTTTAGGTATATTACACTTCTGGCTACACCCCAGTCTGTAATATCATAACAATGATCTGTTCAGATAGGTGCTGACAGCAATGGCATGGGAAATTACTTTCAATGTATTAATAAATCAATGTATTTTTTTCTTTTAACTTGCTATACAAGGAAAAACAGTAGCATTTCAGGCAGGCCTCAATAGACAACTGATAAAAAACTGCCACCATTGGTGACCGGTCCACCCAGAATCTGACCATATGACAGCAACCATCATGGTCGAGGGAACCAAAATCCTGGAGGGAAAGGATATCCCAAGGTGCTGTGCTTTGCTGACGGGAATCTGAGCTATTGGAACTTAAATGTACATTGATAGTGACAGTCTGCTGCTGTTTGTTACAGTTTTTGTAAAATGTATCTAAAACGTCTTTCCTATAATGTGTAAAAAAGACTGCAGGGCCTTGGTGGCCATGTATGGAACAATTTAAATTTGTGTTTAGTGTTGTATTGCTTTCCAAGTTGTTTCTTAAATATGTGTGTGTTTAAACACTGTTAAACTGCAGTTCAAAATAAAAACAGTTTAGCTATTGAAATTAATTAATTTCTCACATAAACCAAATTCAAACCTTTCATTGTGGAGGCAAAAGCTAATTTGCCTTACTTAATACAGTTCATTGGTTGAACATAATTTCATTCTGATTTGTCACAACTCAAAATGAGAGATGGAAACTGTTGCGTTCATTTGTTCATTTGTCAAGACATTTGTTTTTAGAGTGTACCAACGATGCATTTGAAGTCCCTGTCTAAAGTATCCATGCTTTTTCATTAAAGCTGCCACCTCCATGTTTCATAAAATGTCTTTTAGAGCAGGTTTTTCAGGAATGTTAAGTAAGCATTGCAGTGTCTGGAAAGCAAGGTGTGACCCCAGAACCAGACAAAGGATTTAATGCAGGTGTGGGAAAGGTTCACAGCACAAACAAGCTGGCACGAATAAACAGTCAACCACAGACAGGGTAGGCTGGGAAGCAACACTGACAATCTGGCATACTGGAGTGGTGAACTGGGCTTTATATCTACTCAATGGGAACAACTAGTGGAGGCTGAGATTAAAGTTCTGAGAGGACATGCCATGTTTAGTTAAGCAAACTGATGCGTGGGTGGGAGACCATGAGAGGAAAGGAAGAAAGGAAGGCAGAGGCAAACTGAGCTTTAGACTTGACAGATGGATTTGAGTCAGGCCTAAAGGCATCTAACCAGTGTAATTTTGGCCTGACAGAATTTCACAATCATGAAAAAACAGTGGGGAAGTCTTAAGTTGTCAATCCAAAAGGGTGTGACTAGATCTCATTATCATTAGGACCAAATTCTCATAGCGTGACAGCTGCACTCTTTTTCAATAAAGTAATAAAAAGTCATAACATTAAAATCTTTTTTTTTCTTGCATATATTTTTAGCTTTACATCCAGGAATTCATTTCAAACATCAGACAAGTCTTAAAAATTGATGGCAAACAGTCTGACACGGACAACAACCAAGACCACTATTACTAGACCCGTCTCACAATGCATCAGTCACAAAAATTATGACTTGACTTTGACATGACTGCTGTGGGAATTTAAGACACACATCTTTAACACATCTAAAAGAAACATACGTGAAAAAGACAGAGGCAGGCCGAACATAGCTGCACAATTATTAAGATTTTGTCTTGCTTGAATCTTGACTTGCAATTTACTTGTGGAGACTTATGCTAAAAGAGGTGGCACCTGACTTTAAAGGCGTGCATAAACAGATTTGAGACTTTGACTTGGACTTGTTTGGACTGACTTGAGATTTGACTTGGATTTGCAACAGAGTTAAGATATCACATCCCCAAATAACAAGAATAGGTTAGAAATGCAAACCATATCCAACCAATTTAGCAGGTTTAAAAAAACAAAAAGCAGATTTATAGGATATTTCCTCCAAGCTTTCAATGCTTATGTGTCTTTGAAGATGACAGAGCCACCACTGCTTTGGCATTTCATTTTCTGTGGCACTTTTCTGGCACAGCCTTGGTATTTATAGAATCAAATCTTCTTTAACACTGTTGCTGGTGTCGGACATGCAAAGCACATCACTTCCTGGTGTACCTGTAGATGTTTCAATGGAAAGATCAACTAAAAAAAATTCAAAGGTAATAGCTGAACATAGAAAAAAGCATAACAGATATTTGTTTACATGCTGATGCTGCACATGCAGCTTATTGTAAATACCTGTGTTGGAGCATCTCTGCGGGAAACGACCAGAGCCCCCTGGGCCTGAGCTGGAAGCCAGAGACAGACGCAGACCCACAGCAGCATGACTCTCCACACTGTTGACATGCCTGGGAAACAGAAGAGCCTCTTCTCCTGCATGGCTGAAAACAAGTGTGGACAGAAGTCGAGGCATGTGGGAATCAAGTCTTCCCATAAGAGTTATACTCCACCCACATTATGTGTGATCAACTGAGGTTATTTTCATCTATTCCTGATCTGTCTATCTGTCGTTAGATTTCAAGGTGTGCGTGTGTGTGTGTGTGTGTGTGTGTGTGTGTTTGTGTGTTTTCCACACGAAGTGCAGTAAGGTTTTATAAATCATGGGATTTTGCCCTTCATAGATGTACAAATGGGTGCCAATTTAAAGGCAAAACCAATACAAACTTCCTATCTCTGGAACCCTCTCCATCCACCCATAGGTGTTCAGTTGATTCACATCATTTTCATTCTCATCAACCATTCAAAGACCCCTCATGTCCTGTATGAAAGTACGTGCATTTGTCATGTTCGTCTACTCATTCATTCAGGTTTTTCCTTTAATTTGTCACCCGTCTTTATTTATTCCTTCTCTACATTCCGAAATGTGAATAAGGTCATTATACCAATATCAATCACTGTTAAGTGTTGATATTTCCTGAAGTACAACAATAATCAGTCTGACCATAAAGAAACAGTTTCACTAATTTGTCACCACTCTTTATCATTTATTTGGTATCATTTAGTTCAGGATTACAGTAGTCTTCACATGAACTGTAACAGACCTTTTCATCAGTGTACCTCCTGACAAAACACTTTTTAACACAATACACAATCCAGCTCGAGCTCATATTTAAGAAGTGTGTCCCATTTATTTCGATACAAATGATTGCTGAAGCTGTCCTCCAGCACTTCTCACTATTCTGGGATAGTGTAACTGATAATTCTTACAATTACACCGGTGCAATTGACTAAAACTGTGAAACTGTCAATACAATGCTGTGAATGAAGCCTATTTTTAGCAGATTTTAATATGTATTGTATGACTGTGATTTGGATGATTTCTGTGGTAGACACTGATGTGTAACCTCTTTTTAAACAGTTTTAAAAAGGCCCAACACAATGTAGTCTGTTGCATCTCCATCAAGGAGGCCGGTTCCATTACTGTGAATGAACCAGCAGGGAACATTTTCTCCGTTCTTCATATCCCTCCTGAAGTCTCTCTGCCAGCCTCTGTGGACAGACACACAAATGTCATGTTGAACAAATGATATATCAAGAACAAATATTAATTTAAATTAACATTACATGCACAGAGCAATGTAGTGTACCTGGTCACATTGAGCTCCTGTCCTTTCACAAACATGGTGGCGGCTGGTTTCTCTGGGACTTCACCTGGACGCAGGTTTGTCACCTCATATTCAATCCCATGGTAGAACTGACCTGGAGGATGAACCAAGACCACAAATATAATCATTCTGGCGCTGTGTCTCTCCACTAGTAATAGTTGCAAAATGCCAAAATAATTTGAGCTTCATTATATCATAAGGTAACAACCCCAGTGTTACCTGATTGAGTCTGTGTCAATGTATTTTAGCATGATCTTTTTTTTAATATAAACCACAACAACTGAAACTAAATCGATATCACTTCTTTAGACCTGCTAATTAAACCTTAAACCATGCAGTCTATTCTCTAACGTGTGTGTCATGTTGTACCTAGCAGGCCGTGAACAGACGGGGACAGGAGGTGGCTGTCCAGGGTGTAGAAACCCAAATAGTCCCGGTGGTATGGGTGCTTCTTCCACACTTTGTGTAGCAGGATGACAAATTTGACTGAATCTTTAAGAGTTACCGTTAGGCTGCGATCCTTGGTCAAGAGAAGATCCACACTGGAGGAGAAGATGTTTATTAATGATTCTGAACTGGATTACACATTTCATATTTCTCATGTAAAGGGATAATTCTCTTTCACTGGGGGAGATGTGATGGTAAGTAAATAAGTAAGTAAGTAAGTAAAGCGTTATTTATATAGCACCTTTTTAACACAGAGGTCCAAAGTGCTTTACAAATAACAAACATACATGCGGGTATACCATATAAATATGTACATGCATAACCATACCCAATCAAACATACATAGAGAGCATGTAAAGACAAACATAAGGAGGATAAAACAAGGGGGAAGGAAAATGAAAAGAGAGGCGACAGATGAGAAAACAAACAAGGAGATCTATAAAAAGGTTTGCCTGTAGAGATGGGTTTTCAGGAGCCACTTAAAACAGTCCACAGATTCAGTGATTAGGGAAGACTGTTCCACAATGTTGGGGCTAAAACAGCGAAGGCACAGTCACCTTTAGTTTTACAGTTAGAGCAGGGAATGGATAAAAGGATTATAGATTTGAGGAGCGAAGTGGCCGAGGAGTGGAATGAGGAACAAGGAGATCTGAAATGTAACTGGGGGCAAGGTCATGAAGTGTCTTATATGTAATCAGTAAGATCTTATAGTTGATTCTGAATTTTACAGGAAGCTAATGAAGGGATGTGAGAACAGGAGTAATTGTGGTTAAAAGTCTGGCGGCTGCATTTTGTACTAACTGTAAACGATTTAACGAAGCTTGAATGAGCCACGTGTAGAAGGAATTGCATTAATCAAGATGGGAGAAAATGAAGGTGTGAATTAATAGTGTGAGATCACTGGAGGACAAGAAACTTTATTTATACTATATTATTTATTTTTGCAATAATTCGTAGCTGCAGGAAACAGGACTGGACAAGTTTTGTAACATGAAGGTCAAATGTCATATACTGGTCAAAGATGATACCCAGATTCTTAGCAGTGGGTTTGATATTTGTGCGTAATGGTCCAATAAACTGATCAACTGCAGTGACAAAGTTTTCAGGGCCCAGAACAATTATTTCAGTTTTGTCAGGTGGTTTAGGTGGAGAAAATTAAGAGACATCCACTCTTTGGTGGCAGCTAAGCACTAATAGAGAGAGGACAGTTGATTCAGGTCATTGGGTTTCGCAGAAAAGTAGATCTGTGTATCATCGGCATAACAGTGGTATGACATGTCATGGAAGCGGCTGAACAAATGACCCAGAGGAAGCATGTACAGGGAAAACAGAACTGGACCAAGAATCGACCCCTGAGGGACACCACACAGCAGAGGAGCAGAGGAGGAAACATGATTATTTATGCAAACAATAAAGACTCTATTAGTCAAATAGGAATGAAACCAGTTTGAGGCTGTACCAGAAATGCCACCACTCACTTGAGTCCCTTGAGAGAAGCTGCATCAGACCACAGCAGCTTAACCCATTTGCCGTCCTGGAACACCGAGATGACCTCAGTGTCCACCTCCAGCTTCACCCCCAGAGTCTGGTGGATGATGCCAAAACGCCAAAAGTAGGTGTTGATTTTACCATCAGGGGGAATCTTCTTGTCTCCGATAATCTGGCCATTCACCAAAATACCTGAGGAAACAACATGGGATTCAGTCACAAACTAACTGTGTGGAGTATTAGGTCTACATGTGTAGTTAAAAGGAAAAAAAAAAAATACACAAGGAGCCGCATCTTAGGACTTGGGGCTAACCTGAGTTTGGGTCTCTGACCAGGTTGAAAATGGTTCCTGGTTTGTCGTTGACGTTGAAGCACAGAGCGTCATCTCTGTCTGGCAGCTCGATCATGAAATGAGGATCTCCGTCCACTGCAGGTGACACCAGAGTAAAATCACAGTATAAGCTCAACATGCTGATGACAACATTTCAACAACACCAAGAGTCTACAGTCATGCTAGCAGCTCTGTAAGGCGCACTAAACACTAATGTCAGAATGCTAACATGCCCTCAATGACGGTGTTAACAGATGACAGTTTAGCGTGTTAGCATGTTAACATTTGCTACCACCAAAATTGAGTGGGTGCCTTTGGGAGTGTGAGGACCATGAATAACTGTCCAAACATTTTGTGACAATCTATATAGTGGATGTTGAGATATTTCACTGCATAGGAAAAGATTTTTACCTGCTGATGGTGCTAAATGAAAAGGAGGCATCAGTCAAGTCATTAGGACTGTACAAAAGTTCTTAGTAATGTATCTAACAGTTGTTGTGATGGACATGACAGATATTGTCAGACAGCAAGCATTAAAGATATACTCACCAAAATATGTTGGTGCTGACGAGTAAGTATGGCTTACGGGGGTTACAGGTAAATTTCGATGTACTACACACAGGAACAATATAATTCAAGTTAGAATAAATGCAGTGCATTGACTTAATCATCTCAGAATGTCTTTTTAATAATATATGGTTAAAAAAAAGATGTGACATACTGTTTCTTTCTGCCTGTTGTCTTTGCTCTGTCAAAAAACAGATGGACAAAAACATCATGGTCAATTCTAGTTCATACTGGAGCACCAGCCTCTGCTGGTATAGCTGAGAAAATAGAATTTAACAGTAAGTTCTGCTTATGAAGAAAAAGCTTGACTGCAGCCATGTTCAGAAAAGCCTATTTAGTATCACGTTTTAAACCCTCTCTTTCCATCCCTTACCCTCAGTCAGCTTGTCAGCAATGAGAGGGGTGTCTGTGCCGTCCTCAGTTTCAGGTTTGGTGACCACCATCGAGGTGAGTGGGGTGACAAAGCTGTATTGCAGAGACATGTCCAGGGCCTTGGCTGTGGCGTTGGCTTTCTCGTCTGTGGCACCACTTTTGCTGCATGAAAAACAATTTACTGAAATTGCCACATATGACTCTGACATTGAGAAACCCACAACAGAACCTATAAATGAATATTACAAGATTTATCAGGGGCTCTCAGACGATGCCCAAAATATCATTAACAAAGAGTTTCATGAGACCAATAGGAAATAAATATTTCTTGGCTAAAGCAGAGTGAAATTACCCAAACTGACCTCTTCTCCAGTAGCTGCTGGATGGTGAGGTAGGCCCACAGACGCTCTGTGAAATCCCCAAAGATATACTCTTCATCTGGGTACATCACGCCCCAGTCCACAGTACTGGCCTGTCCCTGCACAATGAAGTCCTCCTCAAACTACAGGGGAGAGAAAAGTAGAAGAAATAAAAACATCTTCTCTCAGCATTGTCTCTAAGTTTATGCCGTTTTCTTCTCCTCACCCCCTGGCCGAACACTTCCAC